GCGGCAGCCCCGCCCCGCAACGGCCGCGTCCGTGGAGACAGCGGCGGTGGCGAGCTCGGGGCCAGGGCTGCTCCTCGTTCCTGCCCCGCAGCAGCAGGACACAGCCGGCAGCCGAATCGCACGGTCCTGGGAGGGACCTCGGGCGTTTCACGGCCCGGTGCTCCCGCGGCGTTGTCGGGGCTGGGGACACCCAGCGCCCGTGACCGGGCTCTTCCCCCGGCGGTTCGCAGGTCTGACTCGTAACTCGTAACCAAGCGGCCGCGCTAAATTCCTTCCCTCTCGGGGTCTCTGGAGAGGAGTTTGGCCGGCAGGGGGGAGCGCAGGGCCAGCATCCCATGGAGCTGGGCTGGTGGAGCTGGCGGGGGCCGCCGCGTTCAGCAGCATCCAGGCGTTTTCCTTGCCCCACTGGGGAAGGGACCCTTCTCCGAGCCTCCGGGGGCTGGCACGGCAGAGCCAGCTGCACGCAGTGGCTGGGGCTGCGGTGGCCAGTGCTCAGGTCCGAAAGGGCTTTTGTTTTTCTGACATCCCCTGGGGCGGTGGCCCTCCCCAGGTCATGCTCACAGAGATCCAGGACCACAGTTTTGGCCCTTCACACTGCCAGGATTACAGCGGTGACATTAACCGTATTCCCAAACGGACAGCTAGCCTCACTCTGCCCAATCTCCCATTACAGGCAAATTTCATTATACCTGAAGCTAAATAGATTCCTCGTTTGGAAGTTTTGGGGGTTTTTTGTTTGTTTGTTTTGTTTGTCTTGGTTTTTTTGGGTTTTGTTTTGTTTTAACTCAATTAAAGCCCACTGCAGTGTCTCAGGCCCTGGGTTAGCCTACAACACAGTGTCCTAATGCACACTTAGCATTAGCCTTTGGGAGTGCCACAGAGCATTGCAAGTCCCCACAGATGTCAGTGGGATCAGTGGTGTTAAGCTAGACTCAGGATCACTTGCTGGACTACAGGTAAGAGCATTAAGGTCAGTGTACCTGTAGAACTGCTGCAGTGGTATAAGAGCTTCCTCAATTAATGGGCAACAGAGCTTCAGTGCAAATGCAGTCTTGGCTGGGGCATAACCGTCTCAGAAATAATTTATCCTGCTCTTACAAACACTCTAGTTAGCACGGTGATTACAGTTGTTCCATTTCTTGGATTTCTGTAATGCTGGTAGGTGCCTCAGCAAAAGGTCACCAGTTTCCATGCAGTTCTTTTTTTGGTCTCTCTGGGATTTGGTGTGAATGAAAAGAGCAAGATCTTTTATTTCCAGATCAAAACAGGTTCAGCTGAAGAAGGTTTGCTAGGCACGTTAGTAGTAGCATAATTTGGTTGTGAGAGAAGGTTTCTGTCAGTTCCTCCTGGGGAAGGGAAATGTGATTTCCTTAATTTTTTAAGAAGTTCTAGCATTATTTACTTTCCAGTCTGATCTGGGTGTTAAATGACAAAAACTGGGAATTCACTACATGGCTCTGTTTATTGTATATTGTCTAAAAAAGCCTTTTTAGGATAGGTGACTGATGTATATGTAGAGTGGGTGGGAAGGAGCATGCATTAACAGTGTTGACTTGGTTTATTGATAGTGAATTACAGCGCTACCCCTGTGTTTAAATAGGTGCTTAGCAAACCCAGCTCTGGAAAGTGGATTAGAGTCTTAGCTCTGGCTGGGTGAGACTCCCACAGCTGAGGCAGAGAGGGTGAGCAATGAAGGAGGCCCCTTCCCTGGTGTAAGGGCACCTGTTGGCATGTTCACCATACTGGCATGGTGGGAATGGATGTATTTGGAGCAGTGGCTCACCGTCAGACTTGGCACCACAGGCATGGGGTTGATTTGGATGCTTTGCAGCCTTGCTCCTATTGGCTTTGTAGTGAATGACAAGTGGGCATGGTGGAAACAGCTGAGCTGACTTGCTTTGGGGCTCAGATCAAGGAAAAGCTTCTCAGCAGCCTGGGCACCTCTGCCTCAAGGCAGCTGGGTCTCCTGCCTCAACTCTTGGAGCCCACTCAGCAGCTCTGCATGTGCCATGGGTTACCTACCCTCTGAAAATCAATCTGCCATCGGTAAACAGGCAAGGCAATCAGATCATCTGCTGGAACAGACAGAAAATAATCCATGCCACCAACGCTGCACTGTCTCTCCCCAACAGCTGGCCTTCAATGATTATTTCCAAAAGGTTGGGAAAGCCATCAGAAGCTCCAATCAGCTGTAATTGGCCTGGGGGACAAAATGATATGCATGCTTTTTGAATAGGACAAAGGACTGAGCAAAGATAAAACAATTTTCCCAGTCACTTCAATTAATGACACCTCACTGCCTTCCAGCTGTGTTTTGCCCTTCAGCTGAAGTCCACTGAGCACCAGGAGTTTGGTCTCAGCTGGGTTAGTGTGCTGTAGAGAATCATGTCTCTTCTCTTCCCCCTGAAAGGTGGCCCATCATCATAGCACCTTCTTTAGGGCACAAGGACCTTTGCAGGGAAAGGACTCCCTGTACATCCTCACAGCTCCCCACCACTCATTCCTTCTCCTTCCACATCCACCCTTCATCAGATCAGGCTCCCTTTTTCTACAGCCTTTATCTTTGTCATCTGTACACTACTGCCTCCCAGGAAATACAGCTTCCCTGTCTTTGGCACCCTTCATCCTCCTCCTTTCGGCCAGAGAATGCCTTTCCACTGCCATCTCCACCCTTTCCTGATGGTCACTCTCAGGCCTGCCTCAAATGCATTTGAAGAAGCCTTTGCTGACATATTTGCAGCATGAATAATTTGCTCCTCTGTTCTAGACCTCAACATTTCACGGATCTCCTCCCTTTCCCTCTTTTGCAACCCTTCCTCAGTTGCCTTTTGGCAGGGGAAGAAGTGGAGGGGGAAGGAGCAGAGTGGGTAACACTGGCAAAGCCAGCTCCAAAGCTTTTAGGGAGAGGGCAGTGCTGACAGAAGCAGCACCAGCTGGGAAGGCAGAGGTGAATGGAGCAACCTTGTGCAGGGGAAAGAAGGACTAAGATGGTTCATCTAGGGACCACTGTCTGGGTCATATCCCTTACAAAGGAGGAGCTGATTGGGATGAAACCACTCTTCAGGTGAGGGATATGGTGGCCAAAGATACAGATGCTTTTTGAATATGGCAGTTATCCTTCCACAGGATCCTTTGACCCTATGGTGATGCAAGGCCACCACTGGCCTGAGATATCCTCTTGGTCTTGCAGGAAGGTGTTCTCTCCTCTGACGTTGCCATCCACCTCTGCCTCATGCTTCTTTCAGGTGTCCTGCAGCCTGTAACTGCCCAGCCCTGTGCTGCAGCCCTGTTAAGTCCAGTTAGCCCTAGTAAGGATCAACATGGGTCTGTATGCCCTGGGGGATGCTCACCAGACGTAGATGCTCTTGTGAAACTTGGAACTCAAGTGGATGATTCCTCCCTGGTGTCTTTTCTGCCTCTTTCAGACTGGCTGGTTAGAGAACCATTAGGACTTCCAGGCAATAACCATACATGTGGAATTCTGAGAGTGTTGGCCTTGAGGTTGGAATAAGAAACAGCAAATAGAAAACTTCAGTCGGGAAAGCTCTGCAATGTTGATACGACCAGGCATCCTTACTTCTGCTCTGGGCTGGTTCTTTTAGCTCATATCTGCTTAGGCTCAGTGAGGTCTGAACAGGTCTGACCCATCTCATCAGTTAATGGATATTTGGAAGGACTTCAGTGGGAAAATAATGGAGCAAAGCAGGAAAAGAATACACTTATAATGTATTCATTGGTAAAGCATCTGTCTTTATAGAGTCATAAGAACAGGTGTACTGGATCAAACCAGGGGATAGCTGGCCCAGAAACCCATCTTTAACAGTGGCTAGAAGGAGACACCTGGAGAAGAGTAGAAAAACAAGGCAAGTGTGTGTTCTTTCTTCCAGCACTCTCCCCACCTCCAGCTGTGTTCAGCTACTCACACTGAGCCACATGCCTTCTGTGTATTTCATCATTCTTAAAGGGTTTCTCTTCATGGACTTTTCTTAGAGTCTGCACAGACTCCTAGCATACACAGCATCCTGTGGCAAGGAATTCCCCAGTTCACCTGCAGTCTGTATGAAGAACCCTTTGCTTTAAGCCCAGCTCCTGCCAGCTTTCCCTATTACTTTTATTGGAAAAGACAATAAACAATGAATTCCTGTCTATCCTCTTCATCAGCACTCTGAATTAACACCACCTTATTATCTCCTTATTGCATATTGTACCTAGAGATCTCTTTGCACAGGGCAGGATATAAAGATGAGGCTGAGTTATAGTTGTTTGGCTACAGTGCTTCCAGTCCAAAGCAGAGGAGGCAGGCAAAGAGTATTGAGAGACCACCAGCTTATTCACCAGTCTTCACAGAAGTAAGAGTGAACGCCGTTTATTTCTATCTTTAGCACACCTTTTATAGGGTTCTACAGGGTCCACGGGCTAAGCAAATTATCATTGGCTAATACACACAGGTTTACATTTTTTCTCCTGTACACAAGAATATTGTTTTGCTTTACTCTCTCTTCTGCAGGAAGGTTTCAAGGACTTTAGCCTTTAATATCACGACTTATTTCAAAGGCTGGTTTGTGCAGACAGGCCTTTACTAATATATAAAATGTAGCAACCAAAGAGCAAGTGCATTACAGGAGAGCTGACCATTAATATTGCTGGCTTCCTTCTAAAGCTGCTGTTTTCTTTTGCAGGTAACCACTTAGTGGTGACTCTCAAGGAGTTTTCCTCTTGCTTCTCCTGAAGGAGAAGTAGGTCTTGAGCAAGGATGCAGCAGCCAGCAGCTGGTGACAAGAGCAGAGCCATTCCCTCACCATGTCCACCTCAGGCCAACCTTGCTGATGGCTCATTCTACACACGCCGCTGCATCACTGAGGATCCCAGTTGGTCCCTGGTCACTGTCCCCCACCTCACTGAGCTTTGCCTCCAGCACATCGTTCATAATTTTGAAAGTAAGTGGGAGCACATTTAGTCTAGGACACATGTAGAGAGGGTCAGTCCCAGAGAGCAGAGGGTCAACAAGGCAGGCAGATGCATCTGAAAGACAGTGTGGCACCCAGCCCTGCCAAAGGAACAGATGGGGAGAAATATCCCCTTGGGCAGCCAGTTAAACAAACTGTTCGGTTACTAAAGTGTGTATTATATATACACTCCAGGGATGGCTGCAGTCTTCTGAGCTGCACTGTGACTCTGTACTGACTGTGTTCTATCATACCTTCTTCCATCCATGCTCTTCTGGACTCATCTCAACCATGACCGGGGCTGTGCAGTTGCTGTTTCCTGCTCTTGATTCATACAGATATTAGAGTATGGAGGATTGGTTTGAGGAGGAAGTCCTGTTGTACTGAGTGCTGTACAAAGAGATTGAGAATTTCTCCCTGCCCAGAGGAACTATCATCTCAGTATTGTACTCATAGGCTCAGCCCTTCTCCATGGCTTTTGGTGGTGATGTGACAAGTTACATCCTCAGGCAGGGAATGTACTTTTGAAGCAGGTGGACTGATGAAACACAGCAAAATAGAAGAAGGGTTTCTCATCTGACAGCTGACTGGGAGGAGGAAAAGAAGGGGGTCTACCTGTCTTTTTGGCTGACTCAATGAAGTGGTAGCAAAGACCAATGATAGTTTTAAGGCTATGTCCACACTGGGACTGTAAGACAGTACAGAGGAGCTCAGTGCTGCCTTATGCCAGGAGCTGATGGTACTTGAGGGTCTGAGCTGGGACAACTTTGCAGTCCTAGCAGCCTGATCAGTCAGTTTGATGACAAATGCATTGGACCTGCATTGTGCACGCATAAAAGCAGTGTGCTCATTTTCATGGGGACCCTATGCTGTTACCTGAGCTGTAAGGCTGCACCTTGCCCACAGTGGGGCCTTGAGTGAGCCTGAGTGAAGTTATCCCAGCCCTGCCCATATGTGTCCCACCTCTGCTTGTGTCATGGGACTTTGCAGAGAAGATCATTGCAGTGTTAGCTGTGGGACACTGGCAAATGGGCTCCAGGAAGAGGCTGTGCCAAAACTGTCAATATCCTTAGGAAGGGAATGCCCCAGAAATAGGGGAAATATAAGCTAACCCCACTTAGTGTTTGATAATCTGGTTTCCCATGCACAGATAGGTTTCTCCACTGATGATTTACGTTACTCAATACAACTGTGTACACGTAACCAAATATTTATGGTGTGAGTATACTTGGCTTTCCTCTGGCATTTCTTGCCACAAAGAACTTCCACCAGAGAAGACAGCTGAGACTTAGGGCAAGCATTGGGAAAGAGACTCAGGGAAGAGTACCTGGGAAAGCAGAACTTTTATTTAAATAAGGTGGACCTAAAAGCTAGGAGTGTGCTTCAGCAAAAAGGAACAGAGGTAAGACCGATGCTTGGATTAAGATAAATAGGCATGAGGACCTGCATGAAAACTACACATGTTCTCTAATACTGTTCTTCAATATGCTTAGGAACCAAAAGGGAGAAAGTTCAGCAAATGGCAGGCCAAGCTCTCCCATCATTGTAAGACTGAATTAGCTGTCTTGGGAGCAGAATTCCTGCTCTGAATATAAACTGCATTCAAACTAAGTTTAAATGGGGAGCTCAGTTTCTGGTGCAGTTCCCAACTATTATGAGGGCAAACCCAATTACGCTGATGTTTCATTGTAAAAGTTAGAAATTGTATATGGAAATATATAAATGAATCCTACATGTCTTCTGCCAGCTTAGCTCTCTGCTCCAGCTTCTGGCAGCTGAGGAGAGAGCCAGTATCAGCAGATGGGAGGGCATGGACACACAGCTAGGGGCTCAGGCAGAACCACAGTGCCAGCAATTGTTCCTATGCCCAGACCAACCTCTCATTCTTTTTATCTCTTCCAGAGAACCCTATTTTGAACTATCTTCTGCCTGAGCACCAAAAGAAGGTGGTGGACAGGCTCTCGACCAGCCTTCCACTCACTGTGACTGCCAACATAGTAAGCCATGAGGACTACTGGAAGAGGTGCTGTATGGAGCGCTGGCAAGTGTATGACATCTCCAACTATGGAGACAGCTGGAAACGGATGTTCTTTGAACGTCACCTGGAGAATATTCTGAAGATTTTCATCCCTAACACCACAGACCCCAAACAGGTCCTAGAGCTCATCCCGCTCTGCAAAGGCTACGTGCGGAAACTGGAGATTGATCAGTTCCTGCCACCTTTGCGGGTGGATCAAAAGGAGGAGAGCAATGACCTCTCTGACACAGAGGATGATGCCGAACTTGGTGAGGTCTACACACATCACTATGACCTGAAAGATCTCATTACTGGTCTCCCTTACCTTGAAGAGCTTCATCTCACTTATGGTGTGAAGAACTGTGGTATGAACTTTGAGTGGAGCCTCTTTAACTTCACTGAGCTGGACTGTTCCAACTTGGCTGCTGCTGTGAAGATGTGCCGTAACTTGAAAGTAATATACCCAAACTGAACCTTACTCCCTCAGCTAGATCTTAAAATCGTTTGTGGATAGAAATACAGGGACCAGTTTTTCTTGCTGGTAGCACCCTTTTGCAAGTTATAGACTGTCAGAATGCAGAGATGTTAACTTGCAGGCCTAGTGCTGAGTATCTTGTTCTGCCACGTCCTTGTTAGAATGGGTTGTCAAAGGATCAGTGAGAAAAATACTTGCTCCCACAAAACTTGTTACCTGTAGTGTAAGGGGCAGAAGCACTCCAAAGTTTTAACTCCTCATATGTTGCACTATATTAGGAACGATGAAGCAGTACGACATGACTCTCTTAGCTGCATTGTCCAAGAGAGCAAAGTTTATTATTCTTTATCTTCATTTGTAGATATGTTCGAGAAGGTCCGAGAGATAAAACTCTCATTGGTCATTAAAGCAACACATCACTATCATTGGTTAAGTGGAACACCACCCCTTGACTAAACAACACCTGCAAAGATTGTTGTCCTTTACCAAGGACTGTTTGGATTCATTCTCATGCTTTCCCAGGCCAGAGTGAGAAGCCTGTGTGACATAGTTTCACACAGGCTCTGTTCCCTGCTTGCATTTTGCATTCAGTATCCACACTCATATAGTTCCGGGAGGGAGGAGAGGAAAAGTCTAGAGGGAGCTTTTCATAAGGAATTTTTGATAGTTTTGCTCAGTAAATGCATGCCAGCCTCTCCCAGAGGAGCAAAAAACCCCAAGAACAGTGTGGGGAAACACTCACTTGCCTTAGAGCAATGAGGGATTTTCCTCCCAAGCACTAACAGTATCTTCAGCTCTGTGGCAACTGCAGTGCAGATACTCAGCCCCTCCAAAACACCAGTGGGCATTGCTATTCAAAGTGGAGCCAGAGTAAGCTGGATGAACTCCTCAGATTGGCATACTTTGGGAAATATGGCTTCCAGAAGATAAATTACCTCTCTTGTGGCTATTAAGATGCCCTTGCCACACAAGACATTGTGCTGTGGTTACCACTGGTGCATGTGTTCATTAAGACATGTTTGACTGTGATCAGGGGCAGGTTCCACTGCTTGTTGCTGCAGACATTTGGACAGCATTATCTTGCTTTAATTTAGCCCCCAGTTAGACACCTTGTGCAGTCAGAGGAGAGGGACAGGCATTTCCAGGACATAAACCCTTTTTCCCTAGAATAGGCATGGGACATCAGTGGCATGCCCTGCTTGGTGGAAGTATCAGCCCACTAGGAAAACAACTACTTGAGCCTGCTAGCTAAACGTGTCTGAAGTGAAGGGAGATAAATCCTGTCTGGTGGAACACAGGTTTAGCTCCATGATGATCTTGTACAAAGTTCAGTCCAAAGCACTGGCTGTTTTAGTGACCCTGATTTTTATGCCCACAGGTTTTCAAGCTGACACGAAGCAAAGTGGATGATGACAAAATCAAGCTCCTGGCCCGTAACTTGCAGGATCACCCTCACTTGTTGGAGCTGGACGTGTCCCACAATCTTATCCGGGACAATGGGGCACAAGCTCTCGGAAAGCTGATCAGCCACAGCCGATTAGAAACCCTCAATCTGTGTAACAACCAGATCTGTTACCTGGGGGCTCAGGCTCTTGCTCAAGGCCTAGCTGAGAGCTCCACCCTGACCACCCTGAACCTGCGCCTCAACTTCATAGAGGACAAAGGTGGGGAGGCGATTGGCCGTGCCCTGCTGACCAACACCAGCCTGAAGTCCCTCCATCTGGGAAGTAATAACCTGTCAGAGCCAACTGCGGCAGTGTTCTCCCAGGTCCTGGCTCAGAACACCACTCTGACAAGCATCAACTTCTCATGCAACCACCTGGGGTTGGTAAGAGAAGCCTCTTCTCCCTGCAGTCTGTGAGCCTGTGTGGTGGCCTTGCACAGCACATGCATCCCTCACTTTGCATTCTTGCTATGATAACAATCAGTTGTGAGCAGGGAAGAGACTGTAGCAGATGTCAGGAAAGAGAAGGACACCTTCTCTGCATGAACACGCATTTACCTCACTTGTTACATCTAGCTCTGTTCATAGGGATGAATCTGTCTTTGAGGCTTTGGGGTTTTGGGCAGAGAGGGATTTCCCCCAGGAAACTGAAAACAAGGAAGCATGTCTGGGAAGAATCACAGACGTTTTGCACACATGAGTGTAGTTAATGATAGGAAACATGAGATGAGGGTCTCATGCATATCCTCTGTACTTCGGATCTGCTGTGCTATCTGCCACTCAGCAACACACAGAGAGTGTCACCCTTCCCAGAATTTCTCCTGTCCATCACACGCTCAGAGGAGACTATTAGAAAATTGGCTTGGTTGTTGAGCTTTAACTCACCCTGCAGCCCTGGAGCAGTGTGGTGGGTCAGGAATGTCATGTCTGTGTGCTTGTAAGTGGCTCCTAAAACACAGGCGTACATTTTCTAGACAGAAGAACATCCACAGATCTTACTACATCCCTAAGAGCTGCAGTATGCAACATGCCCACAAACCAGACTGCTTCTCTTCTGCTGATTAAAAAGAGCTTTAGAAATCTGAAACTAGACAGCCAAAAGCAATCATGCTGGCTTTTAAACTTTCTGCACTGCCTCAATTATTCTCACTGTCAAATAAAGAGGCAGCAAGACCAGCTGTCCCTGCTGGCAGGAATATTGGCATCAATGTGTTTGACAAGGGTTTTAAAAGGATTTGATGGCAGAAAACCTTTTCTGAGTTCTGAGTTTCATGGTCCTTGATGTGAAAAACCATTTGAGTTTAATGATAGAAGGGAGCAAAGGCTGGAAAGGATAGAAGGATTTTTGTTTAGTAAATAACAATCTCTGTGCTTAGCATCTTCCTTCTGATGAGGTCTCCTGTCACCCATTTGTGAAGTTCCATGGCAGCCCAAAAGGTGGCTGGTAGCATTATCTTTGGGAAAATCTGGTGTTTTGCTAGAAATGCATTCAACTCTGACCTCTGTACCCTATTAAAAAGAGACCTCTGCCCAGTCCTTTTTGCTCTGCCCTTTTAGGCGAAAGGGCTAAGAGGGAGGGTGTTGGGATGAGGGGACCATCTGGATGGAGGAGAAGGGGCAGAAGGCATATTTGGTACCTGAAAGGGAATAGCAACCGCAGAAAAGAAGTTCAGATGGTCACAACCCTAAATACAGTGCTTCATGTATGGAGGGAAATTCCTCAGAGTGGGTTGCCTCCCTAAGGCTACATCACATTTTCTGTCTCATGCAGGCTGGTCTTCAGTTTCATGAGATATTTCCCTCAGGAAAGCCAACCCAGCCTGGGAAATGGCATCCAGACAGAAAACCGCCAGTTCAGGGGCTCTCATCACTGCCAAGATGAGGAACAGCCCTCTAATCCATTTGTCCCCAGCCAGCAGTGAGCTGCGAACCAGGGGACAGGAGGGAGCAGACTCCTCTCAGGTTACAATTGCCAGATGTGCTATTAACCAGCATGAGCTTGAGGACTCCTGACATGGTACCCAGAGGGAGTCATTAGCATGTGTCATATCACAGAAAGCTGCATAAGGTTACACTCCTCCTCTGCACTTCTCCTGTAAGCAACATTTTAGACCTGGGTGGAGGCTTTTATCGCTTTTGGAACCATCTCATGGACCTCCCACTGACAGCAGCAGAAGTTGCCCTGGGGAGGAGGGAAAAGGAGCAATACACTTCTGTTTTGGATGTCCTCCTTTAACCATCCCCTCTCATGCTTTTGCAGGATGGTGGGAAGCAGCTGCTTGAAGGGCTGGCAAACAACAAGACTTTGACTGAGCTTGATCTCCGCCATGCAGAGGTGGAACAGGAGACTGATTTCCTCATTCACGAAATTGTGTGGGCCAATCGGGAAGTGGTGAGGCTGGGATCTTTGCAGCACCCCACTACTGAACCCCTCTGAATAAAGTGCTCCAGTGAGCAATGAGCTTTGCGTGTGCAGTCCTGGAAACACTTTACTTCAGGTTCTTGGTTTTATTTGCTCTTCTGAAAAATACACTTAACTTGTGGCTGCCACCACAGCCTTTCCCAGACCCCCATCATCCAACCTGTGACTTAACTGGAGACAGACATCACATCTCAAGGCACTGTAGAGGCACCACAGAGAAATCTGCCTCTTAAGCCCTCTCTCTCACTGCTCGCCCCCTGTGATGCTTTTTTATGCTTCACCAGCAAGCTTAGTTCAGGCAACTGAATATTGTTTCACCTGTAAAGCAGCTAAGATGAAGTCTCTGCCATCTAAATGATCTAGTCCAGACCTAACTAAGGTTTTGCTGAGGAGGATGTGAGAGGCATGAAGGATTGAGGGAATGTTGTTTCTAGTTCCTTAGCAGCTTTTTCTGGCTATTGCTCTGCTCAATAATCCATTTGTATTTATACTAAAATCTGCCTGCAGTTGGATATGGGTGGTGAAAAGTAAATAGAAATAAATCCAATAAGTCAAGACATCTCACCACCATGGTTGCCTGCTTTGGGTTGCTCTGCTTTTGATCAGTGCTAGCCTGCTTTGCAACAGGTGAATTCTTTGCAACCAGATGCTTACCTTACCTAGTAGCGCTCTTCCATGCAAATCTATCCGAAGCAACCTGTGTTCTGCATAACTTCAAGCTAGAGGAGTCCCTTCAGGACTGCTGGCCCACATAGCTCACAAGTTTGGAAACTGTGCAGCTTCCTTGGGCTTGGAGCATAATGGAGCAGCTTCTTTTTGCTCTACAGGCTGTAGTCACCTGAGGATGGGATAAGGCGCATACTTGAATTAGTTGGTCCGTTGACCACCTTGCTCAGGAGGTGTTAGGGAATTAAGCAAGTGGGTTGAGTTTCATCCCCTCCCACCCTCAGCAATGCAGGAGCCTCCCATACCCCCCAGCCCTGCCCAACACCAGTGCTCACAGACACACTGCTGGCAACCACCTCAGTGAATCATCTGAAACTTTTATTACACTGATTTGGTTTACAATCTTTGATATTTCCAACAAAAAAGGCAACATTGTGATATACTGTTTGTACATATATAGAGAGACAGACAGAGCTAGATCATATTGACAGAGTTGAAAAGTAAAAACCGTTTCCCAGTGTTCACAAAAGAATTTATTCACCATGTACCTGCTTCTGCCTTGCCCTGTCTGATGGATACAGACACTGATGGTGCCACTGGCCCCTGGCCGACAGGACCTTTACCTGCACCATGTCATGCCCATATAGATCAGAAAGGATGGAGTGTGAGGCTGCCCTGACAGCAGGGGCCACACAAGGGATGCTGACAGGGTTCAGCCCTCACAGGTTTGTGTAGCTCCCTTCCCAAATATTGATGGATGCTACAGGGGCTACGTCCAGAACAATTCCTAACCAGCAGTAGCAGCTGTGAAACCTCCCTTCCAGGGCATCTCCCACTACTTGTTTCCCATCCTCAGACCGAGGTATTGAATATACTTATTTATTTTTATTTGCATTTACAAAATATTTTCACTGGATGACACACCTCAATGAGATGAGAACTCATGTTCAGAAACAGCAGAAAAGACCCAGATCAGCATCAGGCTGATGAAGCAACAGCTCCAGCAGCAAGGGTGGGGGTTTAATGGGGATGGCCTGGTCCTAGGCAAGCCTGCCTGTAGCTCCAAGGACAGGGCTGCAGCTGATCAGCCACTTGTGCAATGAAAGCTCATGCTTGGTGGGCAGTGATGAGAACCTGCAGACATGCTAGCAGACACATGAGGAATTGGCCACCAGAGCCAGTGAGGACAAGGGATGGAAAGAAAAGGGCTTGGGAAAACGTCATCATCAGAAAAACTTCTGACTTGCTTTCCAAGATATTCACTGCTCATTTTCCTGCTAACTGTTGAGATTGTTAACATCACTTAAGCACCCTTCAAACCCAGTCCTGAGCTGCCATGCGCAGCAATGCCTGGACATGTAGCTGTTGCCTGGAGGACTCTTTGCCCTCTCTCCTATCAATCTCTTGGCCAAAAGGCAAAGTCCAAACCAAGAAGCCTGCACCACTTGCCAACACCCAAAACCAACAGTCAACTCTCTGCCAGTCTGCAAGGGTTGAAACCATTTCAAATGCCACGCACTCAGGCCAGACAGCAACAGCAGACTGTTGGAGTGTGAACATTCCTGCTGTTGGTGGGTTACTTGTCAGCTCCAGGTCCAGCTACCACAGGGTAGGTAACTAGCTGATCACTCTGTACTGAGTGCAGGGCTAGCATAGATACCTTAACTCTCACATGAGATCTATCTCCAAGATACTGGCAGGCTTTGAGGGGGCGGGGATCGTTTGTGGGCCTCTCTCTGGAGGAGGGAATAAGCTTGGGCACTGCCACCACCCACCAACACAGCATCAGCAGCATTCAGCAGAATCAAGCCGGGAGCATCCCCTCACCCATGGGTCTGTGCCAGAGAGATGGTGAGAGAAAAGGGGTGGCTGGCAGGTAAACAAGGGGGAATGACACGAGGGGGAATGCACTTGGGCTGTGCTGGCAGGTATCCCATCAGGCTGGAGCAGGGGCACCCAGCTGGCTCCCTCCCACAGCAGATGGCGAGCCCAGCTTCCACTGCTCTGAGCAGAGCACACACGGCAGCAGGAGACAGTGGCCAGCTTCCCAAGCCTGGCGGTTTCTGTTCACAGAGACCCAGGCATCGATTTGCAAGGTGTCACACTGGCATATGCCACAAACAGGATGGCAGGTTAATTTTGAGCAGCGAATTGGGGAGGAGGAACAGGCTGCCGCAAGGATGGAGCGGAGGGCTGTGCACAGAAATGGTTGCTGTGTTCTGCCTCCCTTTGCTCCCATGGAGCTGGATTTGTCTAGGCTGAGCTGTCCCTGCCCATTTGGTGTCTGCTGGCCCTCTGCACAGTCAGCCAAGGTGCTGGTGGCTGGGGTTCAACAGCACGGGGGGTCCTGAAAATGGGGGTCCTGTGCACTACCTCTGGGACAGCACAGTGGACTGTGGAGGAGGAAACAGCACACTTCTAAAACATAGTGCCAAGCACTCCTGGCCTGAAACACACCCCAACAGCTAACACAAGCTCTCCCAATCACTGGGCACCCACCACTGCATTCCATCACCCCTACAGCATTTGTGCCATGTGTCCATCAGCTTCCCTCCAAACTCAATCAGCAGCTAGCGCCATGTACCACCCCACTGACAGGGCACTTTTGGCTAATCTAGATCCTTCCGTGCTTCTTCAGTTGCAGTGAAGAGGGATGAAGCCTGAGCTCATGTGGTTGGGAAGATGGGAAGTGGCATAGAGCCAAGCCCTGCATCAGCTTCCCTAGGTGGAGGGGATAGCTCAGAAATGAAGCATTCCTCCTCCCTACAGGGTATGCCTGAAATAGCCAGGCTTGTCAGATCCCTGTCTCTGGCTGTGATGGATTAGCCTCTCCAAGGCACAAGGCAATTTATTCATTAGTGACATTTACACCTTGTGGCTGCATTAGCCGTTGTGGTTGATGACACGTGCTCAAGCTGTCAGTGCTGGGCTTGGAGGCGACATTGCTGCTCCAACAATGCAGTGAGACGTGGCCTGGGCACCTCAGCTTAGGAATGCCTCCTGCCTTTCTCCTCAGCCAGAGCATGCACAGATTGCTTTGAAAGCCCACTCTACTCCCAAGCCTCTCTATCAAATGCCCTTCTCCATTTCTCCCCCACTCTCCCTGCCTTGCAGCACCGTAGCTCCAGCACTGCATCCTCCTGCCCCATTTTGCCTTGTCTCCTGTAAAAACCACCACCTTTGCAAAGCCTTTTACAGCTATTCTCAACCAGCTCTCTTCCTCCCATGTCCTGCTTGAGCATTCACATCCTATTCTGTCCTCTGTCAGCTGCCCTCAGCCTCAGCTGAGAAGCAGAGCCCATATTTTGAGACTTCTCCAGCAAGATATGCTGCTTTCACCATGATGCTGTCCCCTGGTCTTGCACTGCCACAACAGCTGACCTCTCCTCTCCTCCCTAGTCTGGACACCAGGACAAGCAAAACACCAAGGCCGTCTGTTTTCTAACTTAGGACAAGTGCTGTGAAATTCTCTGGGAAAGCACAAAGTGATGCCAAAGTGATGCCAGGATGTGCTGAGGTTGCTCTGCAGCAAGCAAGCAGTGGACATGCCAGGGCAGGGAGCACTGCTGGAAGGCTGTGCACAGACAAGATATGGTGAGGTCTGGCCACCAGTATGCCTGTGGTCATCATGCATCTGCTGGTATTTCATAGTTGGCCCATGGCGCCCAGAAGGGAGGGGACCAAAATGATGTAAATGTATGGCCTCTGCTGAGTTCAGGGGAGGGGAATGCTTTGGCTAACTAAGAGGAATGACAGTTTGCACACTGGGTTTGGGAAGAGTGAGAAGAGCTGGAAAGCGTTGTCCAGGGAGCAGATCTGGCAGCTCTCCAGTTTATGGATTAGCTTGTTCTCAAACACAGCTTGCTTCATGCTTTTATCCCTGCTCCCTGCCACTCACTGCAGCAAATGTGACACTTCACACCATCTCCTCACAGAAACCAGGTCAGGAGTTTCCTCTCATGAGGAAAAAGCAATGCTCTGTCACCCTGAAAAGCCCTTGCTGCAAGGGTGGATGGGTGTCACCACATCAAAAGCCACAAACACATCAACCCTCCACAAGGCCACACATTCCAGCTGTGCATGAGCATGCAGAACCCCATCCTGCCACATCTGTGTGGATGGCCATGTCACACCTCCAGGGGCAGAGAAAGATTTTAAACTCTGGCCTCTATTCCTGATCAACCTACCCCACACTGCAAAGCCACAGGGCAACCATCCTGATCTGCCTTGGGCATTCCTTCTCCACCAGCATGGCACATTAACAACAGAGATGGAAGGAGTGGAGAGTTTAAACCCACATCTTTGTCAATTTTTTATTTTTTTTTAAGCAAGGCAGAGCAATGTGAAATACTTCTCACAGCTGTTAAGGCCTTCTAGTT